AAAGTAAATTTTTGGGGAGCCATATTTTTGTAAAAAAAAAAAAAATTCAGCAGTCAGCAATGAACCAATCAGAAGTGTTATTGAATTATTTTAGCTCATATACTGTAAAAGGGTTAATTATTCACTGGGTTTTAATTTTGCTTATTTCGCTGACTGGAAAATGTGCTAAATTAAAACCCAGGGAATATGTGAAATTTAGCATTGAACACGTTATCTAAATGATAAAACCATGAATTAAAACCCACTGAATATGCCTGAAATGGTAAATCAGCGAAATTTAAACCCAGTGAAAATTAGTCATTTTACAGTACATGATATTTTTCAAAGTGAAAATAAATTTACCAAAATAGTGTGATCACTGTTAAGACAATAGAAACATACCCTTCCAATGGATCTACTGTCAACTGCCTTGGTTTAGTTAGACCACTAGTTATCAGCGTCTTCCTATTCGAACCATCAAATTGAGCAACTTCTATTTTTGATAGCGTAGAATCAGACCAGTACAGTAGACCAGAGATATAATCAACAGCTATACTCTGTGGAGCTGCCAAAATAACAGAAATAAACACATACGCTTTACATTTATCCTACCGGTATTTCTGAAAATTATTTCAAATACCAAATTTTCTCTATTTTCTCAAAGACAGGCAAAATAGTCAACACATACATGAACAATGTATTAACGTTCAACAGTGATGGTACATTATTCCTTTTAAATAAAAGGTATTACCCAAATACAGTTATAATAAAATAAAATAAAATAAGAGTTCACATCAGCAATACAAGAGTTCACTCAGGTGTACGTTGAACTGTTCAACAGATGCGCGATACCTGGCATTAGTCATACCGGGACGTTGAATACAAAATCTGCAGCATGTCCTGGTGTTGTAAATAACTTGAATACAAGTGTTTGTCTAGATGAATCATTCAAATTGGCTTTATAGATACATTTGTGACCAACATCAGTCCAGTATATCTGGTGGGAATGTGTGCTCAAATATGGCAACTATATGCAAATGATCTAATTAACATACACAAAATTGCTACTCACTTTCTAGATCACCTTCTACAATTGTTTGTCTAGATGAATCATTCAAATTGGCTTTATAGATACATTTGTGACCAACATCAGTCCAGTATATCTGGTGGGAATGTGTGCTCAAATATGGCAACTATATGCAAATGATCTAATTAACATACACAAAATTGCTACTCACTTTCTAGATCACCTTCTACAATTGTTTGTCTAGATGAATCATTCAAATTGGCTTTATTGATACATTTGTGACCAACATCAGTCCAGTATATCTGGTGGGAATATGTGCTCAAATATGCCAACTATATGCAAATGATCTAATTAACATACACAAAATTGCTACTCACTTTCTAGATCACCTTCTACAATTGTTTGTCTAGATGAATCATTCAAATTGGCTTTATAGATACATTTGTGACCAACATCAGTCCAGTATATCTGCTGCAAGACAGGATCATAATCTACAGCATGTGGGTAATCCATAATAATATCATCGATGGATAAAGCAGTGTACTCCAGTGATGGTGAGTTTAAGTCGACTTGAAATATACCATGTAGATATGGGTCACTTAGAAAGATGAAATCATTTAGTACAGGCACTGTAATTTATAATTAAAAAAACCATTAGTTAACACTTGTTATATATCATTATCAAGCCCTTATAAATTCTCTATACTGTATTTACTGTATTAAAAGCATATTCTCAATAAGGCCACACCGACTTAATTTTATGGATGACATCCGCGCGCGCATTAGTTTTAGCCTGTTCTCAAAAAAAAAAAAAAAAAAAAATTTTCGACGACGAGTCTCCACATATCGGTTTTCTGTCCGGAACTTGCCGACTCATATTGTCGCAAAGCACCGGCTTGACGTAAAACTCGTTTTGGACTACCTCCAAACGTGCCAATTTTGTCGTAAATGATCTTCTGCCACCAAAATATGTGAGCATAAAAGTTCAGAGAAAAAACGGAGGGATTGTTGTTGACTGGTACGCAATTGACGTCGGCCAGGGATTTGCCAGGATTTTTTTTTTTTTCGTCCTCTCGCATTAGTTTTGGGGTCTCCAGAGGATGTCATCCATAAAATTAAATCAGTGTAGCCTAAAAGTATTAAAAAAAAATTGCATGCTCTAATTTTGCCTAATTACTTTCCTATTATTTATGAATACAAAATGCAATATTTGAAACAACATCTCCATACCCAGTGAGTATGCAAAGTTAACTATAATCAGAGGTACATGGGTACTTGGGGTTTGCAACTACGATGACATGATACCAAGATCCTGTTTCAATCTCACTCTCGCATACGCGTTCCAACTCAGAAAAGTGCGAATGCGCATGCCCGAGATAACTAGGATACTGAGATGTCAGGTGGATTAAAATAGCTGCTCACGATATGACGGTTTACGATAACTATATTTTCTGTACATTTTCGATGTATTACATTTTTTCACTATGAATGTGGTAATACATGTTTTATTGTTTTATTACAAACCGCCTATGTCATGTCAGAAGGTCGTAGCATCAGTCTCACTATCTACGAGATGAGACTTGAATGGGATTATGGCATGATGTCACCATAAAGTACTATGCGCGTTGCAAACAACAAGTAATGAATCTCTGCTATAATATACATTTTTTTCTCCATAAACCAGTGAATTTAAAACAAAGAGAATATGCTTGCAATACTAAATCACCAAGTGATTATGCAAATAGAATATATTATTTCCTAAAATTTAGCCAACAAGAACGCTCACGCATTGCATCAAAGAATGAATGAGACAATTCATATATGGGCTGAAACAGAGCAGAGATGCTATGCAAGATAGCACTGATTGGCTAACAGAATTACAATGATAGGCTAAGAAAAAGCCCTATGAATGATCAAAATTAATGCAATCTGATTGGTTAACTCAAAGAGGTGTGAAGTGTATCAATTTCAGGGGCCATGTCTTTACAAACCAGGTTTGTGCCAGCACAACCCAAAAAACATTAAAGTGCCTGTGCAATGCCCACCCCCACGTTTCCCATTTTAGATCTGTATCCCACTGAAATGGGCAGTTATTGATTTTTTTTGCTGAAAATGATTACTCGTATCCAAGTAAATTTGAGGATATTTCTCGTGTTGTAGCCACCCCACCTATCCTGAAACGGTCGACGTTTCCGATTTCCGACTCTCACCGAAAGTGCGCCACCAAATGCCAAAATGTGAGAGGGAGTCATACCCCTGAGCCGTAATAACACTGGTCATTCAGTATACTTTTAAACGATATACATTTTTCAGTCGGCGTTTTTTTTCTTTCTTTTTTTTTTGTCTATTTTCTTTTTTTTTGAGAGAGAGAGAGTTTTTAGATATTTTGTTGTGGGCAGTTGCAGTGAAACGTATAGTCATAGTGTAAGTATTCACACGTTTCTAATCGATCCGAAGGTGCGACATCAGTGGACGAAAGCCACTTAACCTCAGATTTATTTTTTCGGAAAAACTGTCCTCGTCCATGCAAAAAAAAACTAGGTTTAAAGAGAAACGCTGACAACATAAACCTGGCGCAACACTTTTGAAAGAAATAGATTCCGCCATGATCACCGAGACGGATTTCAGAAGAGAGAGAGACG